AATATACAGGGTGTCTCAAAAAAACCCAAAATCATTGAAATAACGTATTGTTCGAATTTCAATGCCGTAACACAAAGGATTTTGACAGGGTGATTAATTTGTTTTAAAAATTAAAATATCTTTGTAAAGTGAACGTTTGTTTGCTCATGGGAATTTAAAAATGCTTCGTAAATTGTAATATGCGTAATATGCATTCGTGGGTTTAGTACTTTATGCCTGACATAACAAGTTTACGCTGAGTATTACCATTCATTATAGCAGTTATGTCAATCTTTTATGCACTCGTGGGATTAACTTAGTGCTAGGGCATTGAATATCGAACAATACGTCAATTTCAATGATTTTGGGTTTTTTTGAGACACCCTGTACAATATTTCACGGCATGGTCTACTTTCCAGACCCCGTTGAAGTTGATAAGCCGAAATCCATTAAATAAATAATTCTTATAAGTAAGCCACAAAGAGACCCCAGACGCATGTAGAGGTCCTATTACCTATCCCAAAATTAAAATAAATCGGAAATAATCACGTAAAATTGAAAAAAAAGTTAGAAAGCTAGTAACGAAATACTTTGCCACAAAATGATAAGTAAAACGTTACTTCTTAAAATGACTTCGTTCCAAGTAAAAGTACTCCAGAAAAAGTTTACTTTGTTAATCATGCTGACTTCTCAAAAATACTACTCAAGTACAGTAACGAAGTACATTTACTTCGTTACTTGACACCACTGTTTGTATACTGTGTAAATCAATCTCACAACTCGCCTATACGTTGTCGAAAGTGAGTTGTGTGCTTGAGTTTACACAGAACAACTCGAATTGAATATAAGCAAGCTGCATGCGACAGTTTTAGACGTTAACTGCGCCTTATATAGTTATGCTTATCTGTCTCTAGTGTTTTTGTACAGTTGAGAGACTTGAGAGTATATATACTAAGAGTTCTCAACGAGCAACCGTAGTCCGTATATATAATTCAACTTTTCAGGTTTTCGTTGTCAAGGCTTCCTTGTGTTGGAAGAAGATTAAATGTATGTTTTCGACCGATCTTTGCTTAAAAAAATTCAGTGAAGCTATATGACAATATAAGCTTCGTAGTTCGTGTCTGAACTAAGACTAAGTAAAAAGGATAAAAACAGTTTTGAACGATGACGATGATGTGTTTAATCTTTTCAGGTTCAGACCGATAAACCACGACAGTTTATTGTATAGAATACTACCTACAGTGGACCACCACGTTTGAGATATCTTTTTCAGGTAGTTCAGACACAAACCATAGCAACGTATATTGTAGAATACTACCCACACTGGACCCTACGTTGGAGATATCTGTTATCAGTTTCTGAGCTTAGATTGTGGGAATACTGTCTATACAATGGACTTGGAAGTTAAGCGCGGATGAAACGAGAATGAAAGCCATGAGAGTTCAAAGCAGTGAAGCGACCTTGCATGGTTAGCTGTTCTTAACGCCAGCCCAACACTATCATGTTTTCTATCTAAGTTAAAACAAAGTTGGAATTCTCATCAAACTTTTATTTTGTTAAATCTAGAGCCTGGAATGTCCCCTGTATATAAACAATGCTTCGCACAACTCTCATCAATTCTTACCCTCGTTTTCCCGAGGAAGAAACGATGATAATATAAAATGAAACTATACTCAGAGTGTCGATTATTTTCAAGCTTTCGTTGGTATATAGGGATGCAACTCCCTGAAAAGATACAAGGAGAATTTCGACGTTTCCAGCTAAGGCCCTTCGTCTGGAGTTGGGAAACTACAGCAACTCCATGCAGGAGAACGGCCTTCGAAACGTCGAAATTCTCCTTATATTTTCAGGTAGTTGCATCCCTATCAACGAAAGCTTGTTTATATTATTGCCACTACCTACACTGGCTCAGGAAGTTGTGGGTTTATATTTTGCATTTTATATAAATACTCAGTGGTTATAGAAAATAAAGAAATAGCCAATGTATAGATACTGAAAAATTTTCAGTATATTATATACTCTCATGCATTTGTGGATACAAATATAACGTTTGCTACCGTTTCATCTTTTTAGACCTATGGTACACATTGAAACAAATTGAAATGTATCTTACCTTTTGTAACAATATTTAGTCCACCGAGTTAAACAATCTTTAAGAATTAAGTCCTTGTCAGTGAGAGTTTATGAGATTTGCTAGTCACGCATTCTTCACAGGGGACATTTCAAGCTTTAGATTAACAAAATACAGGTTTGATGAGTGTCCCAACTATGTTTTAACTATGATAGAATACATGATAGTGTTTGGAGAAGCATTAAAACAGCTAACCAAAGTCGCGTGACTATCAACTCTCATGCGATCTCGTTCGTCCGGCGGTCTTTAAAACTTTGGTATATATATAGTTCAGCATCGTCCTTCGTGAAGAAAGGTCGTACAGTATCTTGTCTTGTAGTTGTACTGTATAAACTAATTCTTCGCCTGTATAAACTATGCCCTCGACCACACAGATTCAGCAGCTACAAAATCTTTAAACTTGCGACTTAAGCCATGAACAGATATTCGACTTCGACATTTCAAGCGAAGGCCTGTCACGAAAATGAAACGTTTGGTACAGTACGTCTTTAATCACGACTTGTTGTTCGTGTTGATAAAATTACCGCGCCGAAAATACAAGTAACAAATCCGACTGAGTCAAATTATCCAACTAAAAATAAGCCGAGTGACCGCAACGATAAGTTAATAGTTGCCGTGACAAAGACTGTTTACCGCAAAGCCAGCAGTAAACATCACGCCTATCGTCACGCAGGATGTCACACGAGCAATTTGAATCGCAAATTACGGCTGTGCTGGCAATACGAACGCCGTGGCCTATCCGATTACGTTTGTGAGAAATCGTGGCCGCGTAAGCATCGAGCGCATTGCGGCTGCGGGAACGTCACGCGTCTGACGTCAGCACGCTACTCGAAAATTTCTCCACGCGCGGGATGACGATTTTCGCGGGCCAGACAAAGCCACCGGACGTGCGTGTTATTACGCAAGAAGGCTGGCAATAAGAGGCTTTAAAAGGAACACGACACAAGAGGATCGCCAGTTCATGTCAAACCATCCTCCGTGAATGAGTTCAACTCCCGAAAGCTGTTAGAAGGCAAAACGTGCACAGTTTAAAGCTGAAATCAAACGAGATACATTGTGTTTTTGAACTGCAAGCTAATTTCACGGATTTTCAAAGATTGAGGACACTTAGGAAGCACACTTATTATACACATTGCTCAAATACCGGCGTTTGTCATAAAAATATTCTAAGCTCAGAGGTCAAGATTACAAGGTAAGATATATAACTTATTACATGCTTGTAAATTTACCGAAACATTTTTAGCCCAATTTTAATATATATTTTATGAGGATTGCTGATTTGCACGCTAGTCTAATGAAATAGCCGTGTATATATTACGGTATATACCGACAAGTTTTTGAATTGGTCTTCCCATGTCATATCTGCAAACCGGTGTATATATTAATATATATACTTAAGTTACTGCAAGGGCATATCACTACTGTGGTATCTTAGGGTATTAATACAGTAACATATTATAGCAATGGGGAAAATATTTGTGCAGAAAAAGGCTTTATATAGTTTTATTCAGCTTGTATAATGTGTGTGAGTATACTATAGTCTGTATAGACGATATACTATAAACCATATACTCAGGTTATAGATATATGGAAAGGAAAAATTAAACCTGCAAATCCAATTTTGCTAGGTATAGTACAGTAAATTTATAGGTAAATATATATATTTGTACTTTTTAATGCACAGAAATGTCGTTCATATTTTGATCATTGATCGGTATATACTGCAATCTGTAATCTGTATGCCAATGATCATTGACAATGAATATGTATATGCAGGCTTAAATTTAAATTAAACCGTTTTAATTTTGATGTACAGTATACAATTAAATTTAACGTAGTCTTGGGTTATATCTGCATGTATACTTTGAATGTCCAGAACGTCTATAGTTTGCCCAGCACGATTCTATTTGCCACTTTAATTTTTTCTTGTGCACACAATCTTCATCGATGCCCTCAGACATATGCGAAATATGGCATGAAGATTGAATGCTGAGTGTGACATAGACTTGATCCAATTTTTTAATGTACGGTAACATCATAGCAATGCGCTAGGCCTATCTGTAATGTTTAGAGAATGCCGGTTTTCATGTTTTACTGAGGTCTTGTAAAATGTACCACGAATTTGGGCTTGTACTATGTCTATGTATCATACACAATATATATGTCTTGTTGTATATATAGGTTAACTGGAATGCTAAATATTTTAAATCATATATACTGGTTTAAAAAAAGCTCGTTTTAAAAGCCAAGGTCAGACAAGAATGAGATTTGCCGGTCATGCATTGTTACAGGGGACATTTCAAGCTCTAGATTAACAAAATAAATGTTTGATGAGCGTTCCAACTATGTCAGTTTTACTCTTGAATAGAATACATGATAGTGTCAGGGAAAGCATTAAGGATTTAAGAACAGCTAACCAAGACCGCAAGACTCGGCCAACTTTATTAATACACACTGCTCTCATCCTTGTTTTATCCAAGTCTTTAAAATACTGTAGAAATGTGTAATTTTTGTCAGGTCTTTATGAGTTCAGCTGAACATGTTGATGAAAGACAGCTATAGCATTATACATATAGTTATATGTGATGGGCAATGATGAACTTACATGCATATTCTGCAGAAAATAAGCTACTTGATACTATATTATAGATTGAAACAACTTAGTTTCTGTTTAAAAGCAAGGTTTTAATCTCTTAAATTTTCTTTATACGGTCAGGCAACGAGGAGATGTACAAATTGTATTTGACGATAATTGTAATCGATACAGTGTCCTAGAAACACTGCATATCGTGTGCGGCTCGGCCGACTGCTGACCACTTTATATTTACTGAGCATTCTGCAAGATTAATTCATTGAACTGGTGTAGATCAGTGTTATTGGCTACGAAAAGGTTCCAATCCACTATAGGAATATAGGTTTGTATCAAAGCTTTATCAGTAATTGCCCAATAAAGGCCACGGATTAAACGAGTTTGAGCTGTGCATGAGAGTTACCAGTCACGCGATCGTGGTTAGATGATCTTAATGCTTTCCTAACACTATATCACTATGTTTATCCAAGTTGAAACATAGTAGGAACACTCATCTATCCTTTATTTTGTTAATCTAGAGCTTGAAATGTCCTCTGTAACAATGCGTGACTACCAACTCTCATCAGCTCTCATCATGCGAGTCGTTTGTCCGAGGCGTTATTGCAACATGTATCAGTGCATGCCTTGGACTTCGCGCGATGTGTGCTATAATCAAATTTCCCGGCCTTATACCGTGTATCACTGTTTTTCATGTTTCATTCAATGCTTGAAGTGTATCTGGCATTTATAAAGTGGAATATGCATTCTAGTCAAACAAGAGAAAGGTTTAAAACTGCTTTTGCAGCCGATAGGTTTCTGTCGGAACAGCAGTTGGACTATACATCGCGTGACAATTACTATAAGCTCCACTGCACGCGTTTTGATCTTTTACATGCGAACTCACATGTAATATTTGTAGACTGAGCCATATTTTACAATGGTTTTAATGTGAGTTGCTACAGTTCTGTGTTATAAGGCATTGAATACGTGATTTGGTTTGAAATGGAATGATAAACGCGATATCGCCAAGGTCAAGGAAGTGAAGATGCAGGATTGCCGCAAAGTCAATTCCATGAACCGGCGTTTATATATTTTCGATTTACCTTCCATTAGATCTGAACACTTCTATCAGTCTGAAGCTAAATTGATTATATCGAGTAGCCATATATGAATAATAGGAAATATAGGAAGCTACTTAATCGTGCTACGTTTGAGAGATGTGACTTTCAAACTCAATTACTCATGTCTTATAGCGCTTACGAAGCAAATTATCGGTAGTCTGTTCGACATACTTTGATTGTATATATCTTGATTATTGCTTCTGTTTGATTATTTTTATCATACAGCAAGTTCTTTTCTATATTATAGCTTCTGCTTATTCGCAAAAGAGAGCTTTTGAAGCAAAACAAAATATTTAAGGCGTAAATTAAAGTTAGGATACGTTTAGCGCACAAGCGAAACACCGCGCCCATGCATCAACGAATCATTTTGCAGCGAAGAATATATTGCCGCATACAGGCCACTCTTTTATAGACCATAACTTTTGATGTATGCTTATTCATGAAACATAACGATGTAAAGCTGGGCAAATTACGGTCTTAGAAATCTCGGAATTCAAATTGGAACACAGACGGTATGCAAAAGAAATACTTTTCTTCGGTATACAAATTAATGAACAGTTTTTCTTCGATTTAAATTTGTCTTCTCTAAAATACAAGTCAGAAACGATAGGATAAAACTGATTTGGCAGATGTACATGGCATGTCGTTTCATTGAACTTTACCTTGCAATGAATACTGTCATTGTCCACAAAGAAATATGGATATATATAAATGGCAGGGCTCTTATAAAAAAAGGTGTATTTAAAGAATGTATCTTTCCTTATACAAAGAGAAATTGTAGTCGAGGAATCATTTGAAAGATAACATTACGGAGTTATAGGCTTAAGTTTGGGTTTATGGTATTTATTGAAACTTACCGGTAGTCTGTGTTTGATACGAATTGGAATGCATGTCTTTGAGTATTCCAAATCAAGACTGCCAACGTATCTCATGCAGTGATCGATAGATAGCTTGCAATGCTGTTTCTACTTGGTTTGTTAGGCAAATTTCAATCTTTTAACTTCATTCTCTAACGTAGATCTGAATAGAGTGTTCTATTTCCCTATAAACAGTTTGGTTTTGAATTCGGAATTCCTGGTACTTGTGTTTCAGTGGTTGTCTGCGTTGTGGTTCCTGGCTGAAAGCCATGTTGTGGTAAACACTTATCAATGGTAAAACAAAGCCACAAATATTCACGATTTTAGTGTAAATATTTACCAGGAAATTCATCTATTTTACCACTGGCAGAAAGCGGAATTTCTGATATACACATTGACATTACAAGGTGAATATTCATATTGGGAATTTGTGCGGTTTGCTATCAGAACAATTCATTTCTGGTGCTACATATTATACATCATTGGACAACAGATGTTTTAGAGATTGAAACTCGATGTACATAGGCTAAACATGGAAAATGGAAAACGATTTACATGAAAAGATACCTCTACTGTTAATATAAACAGAGCTAGGGTACTGAGTGGTTAGAGAACAAATTAAAACAGTGCCCCTCTGCTCTTAACTGATACAAACATGTGTAATCAATTATGAGGATAAATATAGAGGCTCTAATAGGATCAACTTTTCATACATATATAGTATTCTAGTCTCATGCAGATTTTGTATTCAGAGTATATCTGAACCCCCCATATAAAAGGTTGTGAACTACAACACACTTAATATATATATGTATAACCAATGCTTATACAACATGTACTGTTCATGTAAAGATTTAGCTAGTGTATGAGAACTGGGATATATTACATACATACACAATAAGATTACACATATTATGTACATTGATTTTAACTTCAATTTTAGTGTACTTTAAACGTAGCTAATTTTTCCGAGAAAGTAAAAAGTAAGCAACTCACTATTTAAAAAAATATTAACACTAGATAAAGGTTATGTACAAAATTTTATTGAGAAGATTCGTATTGTAGATTATTATACTAATAATATATATATAAACATATTTCAGAAATATATTATTATATCATAGTAGTATATAATAAGAATGCTATAGCTATATGGTTTAATTCTTGCAGTTTCCTATACGGTTATTTCAATATTTTTTAATTGACTACTTCTTATCACATATTTCTAACAATTAAATTAATCATTATATATTTCTAATTTGTTTTCAAACAGGGTGAAGGTCTTCTGTAGTTATTCAGCCTATACTACAAAGTCAGATCAATAACATAAAATAGAACGAATTAAAGAGGAAACCAGCTTGTCAATGGTGGTACGTAACTCTATATATGTATGGACATAAAGGATTGATAGGAATTATTGAAACAAATAATATACCATACATCCACTATTTAGCCCCCTCTGGGCTTATTAGAGGGGAGGGGGGCTAAACATGGAAGCTCATGAAATATATTTTCACGTTCTTTTTTCACGTTCATACACGGCATTATCAGTAAAAGTTCTATAAAATTTTAAATGTTTATACTCTGCTATAAGATTATATTGAGAAGTATTTAATTATTAGGGGATGAGGGCTAAATAGGGAGGAGGGGTGTGGCTTAGTTATATAAGTGCTTCTGGAGTTGGAAGCTAGTGATGGGAGTGTGGGAGGCTAGAAATAGGCTGGGGGCTAAATGGAGGAAATACGGTATATTGCTTTTAAATGTATAAACTCAGCATATGACAGAAATACACCTCTCTTGAATTATTTGTCAAAAAAAGTATTTGTCATTAAAGATCTATTTAGTTATTTAATCTGCTATCTTAATTGTTCAAATTAATAAATTGAATTTAGATCATTATCCTCTGATAATTGCTTTTTAAAGCAACAGCAATTTAACAACAACTAAGTATGTACAACTTTTACAAATAAGTATACTCCTATATACCTTAAATCATCTATGCATTTACCAGTTGGGAAGCTAGCCATGGGAACTGGTCATACTATGCTAATAAATCTGGATCTACATAGGCTAAAGACATTACATTTCTAAAGTTTTGTATAATGCAAATCATTAAAAAATTGCATAGCATGACCTGTTGCTTTGTCTAATTGGCATACACTAATTATGTCAACATGTTATATTATTGTTTTACAAATAAGATAGAAAACCTTGACTTAATCCTTTTCCAACACTTTTAGATCGTATATGCAACGACAAGTTATGTCAGGAGATATTTCCCTGCATTAGATGCCATATTGACATTTCCTGTCATTTACCACTACACTGCTTCTGCGGGGTATAGAGCTTCTACCGAGGGGCATATAGACAGTTACAACATGACAAACGATGTGAGCACAACAAGTGGTGGTGTGATAATTCAGAGAAGACCCAGTGTTATAAAGGCGGTTCCAAAGCAGGATGAAACCATTGTGGATGAAAGGGAATGTGACACGATAGATGTTGTAGGAATGGATGAAGAAGATGATGGTTTAAAAAGTGAACAAGATGGATCAGAATCGGGAGAA